AAATTTTCTAAGAGTAAAAGCATTTGGCTTAATAAAGTTGATTATGTTTCATCTCATACACCTGTTGTTACTAACTCTGTTCTTCCTTGCATTGTGTGATCCACTAATGATCTGATCAATCTTAGCAAGAGAAGAAATATTTGCTCAACATGCAGAACCAATGATTTTGTCAATAAGAAAAGATTCAACAGGTGGCATGGAGATAACAACTATCATAACAGTTGGAAAGGTAAGAACGGGTATGATCACAATAACTGGTATGGGTCATATTCTATTTTTGATCATCCTGTTCAAAGTGCTAAAAAGAATATATCTAATAGAAATAGATGGTTTGGAAGTTACAACATACCCCAACCCGATACTAACAAAATAGGACCCAAATTCATTTGGGTACCAAAATCTACTTAATCTGGTTTTTGCAGGTGTGTCAATTTTGTGTTGATCAGAATATCATATCAGTGATACACCAATGCAGGGGGAGTTGTAATCTGTTCCACAGAGGCTTCTAAACAATTCAGTTCAGGACCCGTGCTTTACCGAGTGTGGTTTCTAAACACCCAGTTTAGGACCCGTGCTAAAAATGTGTCAATATTTTTTTTTAATTTTTGAGCTAAACTGAAACATTACTTAAATCTACTTTCTAGGGGGAGTCTCTAGAAAGTTCAATAAATATTTTTCGGACAATAATTTTTTTTGGGAAACGAGTATATTTTCTAAACAGATATTTCCTGAGATTTTACTTGTGTAATTTCTCATCGATCATAACTCCAATACCTGTTTCAGCTATTCTTCTAACCGTTATTATCACGTCTCTTATATATAAATTATTTTCGGTGATAATACACTCGTTTGTATTCAAATGTTGATTTTTCTGATTTTTTTTCTTCTTGATTGACATACATATTTTTAAATCAGAATCTGTAAACTCGTACCTACAGATCTTCATTCATTTCTCTCGCATATCGAATAATCTGATCATTGTCCCATCATTCTTTCATTAATTGTGCTTAAAGCCAAATATTTTGATCAATTTTTATTTGATCATTGTGCTTTATCTGAATATTTTTTTGATCAACTGTTTGTGACCAATTGAGCATAATGCTAAATTTTATGAGGGACTGAGTGCTTATCAGAAATACCTCAATGGAATGTCAGAACCGACAAACCTACCCATGAGGACAACCATATCTGAGTGAACTTTATATAAAAAGGGGTTTGTGTGCTGAGACTAAAATGAAAATGAGAGGGGTAGTTGTTGTGAGCCAAAATAATTGATGAGAGTTGTGTTAGGATTAAAAGAAAACGAAAATCATGTTCCAAACTTCTAAAATCCAGGTATAGCACACAATCTATTAGTTCTCAATTCTTTCGAGACTAATATTGAAAAAGGCAAAGCCCAGGCCAATTATTGTCACAACCCCACCAATGACTCATTTATCTCTCAACAGATAAGTGTTTCAATAACACTTAGGGCACGCAGTTCATCATCTATCAATCTCTCATTTAGAGAAAGTTGATATTGAATCAGAAAGATATATGTCCTCCCTTCAAGTCTTTTTTATCACTAATTGAGTCTGATAAATTTGTGTAGTCCACACGGTTTATCTTTTTTAGCCTAAATCGAAGCATACGTTGCTTTATCTTTCTACACTACACAGATTTTGCATTTTATATGTTATTTTGCCAAAACATTCATGGATATGCTATTATTAAGCTATCGATGATTGGATGGAAGACCTGGTGAGATGAGCATCAAAAAGTCTCATATATACAGTACATCTGTTGTACTGAGTATATCTGTTATACTCACAGGCCAATCTTTTTATAAGATTGAAAACAATTTCATTCGTTGATATTGGTTGTTACCTTCCCGTTTCCTGAATCTGAAAAGATTAAATAAGTGGATTTGCAAAGATCTACTTACAATTTCATGAATTGACGGCTTACGCGAGGATTTCATTCATTCTTGTGTATGATGGAATGATTCTCATTTCATCATAAGGGGAGTATGTAATAATGAATGAAATGTCCAATTCCGAACATTATAAGGGGAATTTGATGTAAAGATCAAGGGGGAGTAACTTCAATAATGGCAAAAGACTCAGAAGAAGTGTGACTGGAGATGATTACAGAAAATTATTCTGATGCTAAAATGACTGAGAGATGTTGAATGTGAAGATCCATTTTTACAACAGTTTACTGAAGATCAACTCTGAAGTTTGTTATTGTTTCTGATCTACATTGTCAAAAGAGAATATCATCGTTGTTCTACGTTCGAGGGTGACAATGTTAGAAGATATTTCTCAACAAATGATTGTCTGAAGATTTCATGTTGAAGATTGTTTTTGAAGAAGACATAGTGTGCTTAAAGCTACAAAGTTCAAACGAGATTCAAAGCGCGCAATTTCTTTTAAATCTGAATACAAAGGGGGAGAATGTTAGGAATGAAATTCTGTATAAAACTGTATTCGTCTTGAAAGATAAAATTGTCTATAATTGTATAAAAGTCATCGTGTTTGACTTTTCTTATGACTTTTTGACTTTGACTTTTATCTATAGGTTTGACCCTATATAAAGGGTGTTTCATGTTTGACTTGTATTTTTTAGTAGGAGCTAAATTGTAAAAATTCATTTTACGTATTAAGAAGTTTGACTGAGTTTGAGATTTTGACTTTCTCGCATCAAAGTGTGCTTACAAGTATAATGAGATGTGCCATTGTTGAAGAGCTTTCTTGAAGATTGATCATATTTGGGACTTACAATTGGTATCAGAGCGGATTGTGCAAGAAATCAACGAAGGAAATCATCTAATCTGAAGAATTTTTTTAATTTTTTATGTGTTCTTATTTGTGTTCTTCGTGTTCTAAGCATTTTTTTTGAGTTTGATTCGAATTTTTTTAAAATTTTGTGTTTTCGTGTTAAAATCGTGATCAAAATGTGCAAAATCGCATTATGAATCATTGTTATTCACAAAGATTTATGATCTGATCTTCCGATTTCCTGTTTTGATAAAATTTGTGGTTTTCAATTTTTTTTCCTGTTATGTTCTTAAAAAAAAAGGCTAGTTTTTGATTAATTCCTTTATTTTTTTGTTTTTGGACCTTATCCGCTCATTAGCCCATTCGTTTAAGGGCCCATACTTTTATCAAAACCCCTTTTGATCATATCATGTTGATTTTCTTTCTCATCTTTTCTAAATCGATCGCTCTATAGTTTCATACATGAGACAACCAAGTTCAAGGTAAATCATTCAAGGTAAATCGCAGCTTTCTGTTTCATCTTTCTTAACCGGATTGTTAAATCTTTCAAGGTAAATCGGACACTTCTTGACCGGATTAGTTGGTAAATCGCAGAAGCTTTGAGCGATTTAGGCACTTCATTGAGCGATTTAGACACAACCTGTGAGCGATTTTGACAGAACCTTTGAGCGATTTAAACTTAGCATTGTGATTAGGATTTGACCGACTTCACACATCTTGAGTGGAGTTAACCATATTCGTACATCACTTGAGCGGACTTGACCGGTTTAATACTTCACCTTGAGCGATTTAGGTAGTGTGAGACAATGTATTGAGCGATTTATACTTGGTTTAGTTTCAGTCTTGAGCGATTTTTTTTTGTCTTGAGTGATTTGGCTTAGACTTAAGCGATTTAGGGTTAGTCACAACAGTGTAAATCGCAGGTGTTAGTCGGCCAATACAGTCTAAATCGCAGAATCTTTCTCATTCATCTCAAGTCTAAATTGTACACTTCACTGTCCAATTTTATCTAATTTGCTGTCAATCATGTTCGATTTCACTTTGACAGCATACCATCTTGATCGATTTATCAGATTTGAAGTTCATCCGATTTGGGTTTTATATCACGTTCTTGTATTGTGTAAATTGTTGGGTATTGTAAGCGGGATTGATTGAAATTGCAAGTTAGGCAGATTTGTGGTTTGTGACTTATCACACAAAAGCTTGTGCGATTTGATATTCCTCGTTCATCAATCTTACCTAGTCATCCGTATTCAAGGTCATTCTCGATCACAGGTATTCACATGTGATTTGTTTTGCTGGCCTTGGACTGTGTTTATGGTTAACATGTTAAAGGCATATTGTCTGATTTATGTGATTAATAACACAGATTGTTAGATTTCTTTGTAGCTTACATTACAGCAGGTGTTGATTTCTCATTCTTTGCACTTGAGCTGTATCTTACACACAAAGGCTATTGTAATTCAAAGGCTAACATCCTACCTACTGTTGTTGCATAAAATTGATGGAAGTTACATTGTTACTTGAACTAGTTCGAGAAAATTAAGGTACGACTAGTATTATAAGATCTTGTGTGAATCTCTTTGCTAGACTTTGCATTCTTTGCTAGACTTTGCATTCTTTGCTTAAAAACACTTGGACTCACATTTACCATTTCATGCAAAGGCAACAAAGCCTTTTCGGCACCCTCTCCTGTTTCTGATGTAAGCTGATCACTAGAAAACCCAGCATCAATTCCACCAATCAGCAACTGTTGCTTGCTCGGAGCCTTGATTATCAATTGGTGAACTTTTCTTGTAGTTTCCAGGTTCATGACTGTCAAGGTACTAGTTGTGGAACATTAGAGCAGTTGAACTTGCAGTCAAGTTTTGGTTGTAATTTTTCTGGCACTCCAAGGTTTGCATCAAAAGTTGGCTCTAGAAAGAAATTGATTATTTATAGTAGTCATTGTCATAATTCAAGTAAAATTGCTAAAGGTGAACTGGATAGTTGTTTGAGGAGTTATAGCAGGCAAAGTTATTCAATTTGTATACTTAAGACATCAAGGGGAAATCTTAAAACAGCTGATGCCAAGGGGAAATCTGCTCTTTCCAAAGTTATCGTGATTCAGACATTGGTATTGTTGGCAGGAGTACTTGATGTATTTGTTCCACTATTAAAGAAGCAGCCCCTTGAAACATTAGTTGTTGCTTCTAGTTCTATAAATTCATATCAATAATACTTAGAGATTTGGGTCGAATGTTTTTTTGTCATCCAAAACAATATCCAACTAAAGATTGCTTTTGTTTCTGCAGGTCTCTTCATTACACAAGATTGGAAGGTACATTTACCAATGGAACTGGGAAGACAGCATTGATTGATAACTCAATTCATACAAGTAATGGCTCTTTTGCTGCTTCTATCAAGAGAATTTTAGGAGGTTTTGTTAGCTCAATTATTCCTATTTTGTAAAAGTATAGAAAAAGTATACTGCAAGTTTTGACAGAAGGATAACTCCACAGAAGACAACAGAGGACTAAGCGACAGAAGCCGTTTGATCAAACAAGTTAAGAGTGGCAGAACCTTTGGTATGTCTCACAGAGGTTCTGGAAAATAGTCCTCTGTAATATTGAACAATGAAGTCAATCACAGCAGAGCCTCTGAGATGGCTCACAGACGGTCTGCGGATTTCGTCTTCTGTGAAGTTTCTGTTCCAACAGTTTTCAAAGGTTGTTAGCCGCATATGCTTCTCACATGACTAGGGAATAATCGACTTTATTTGGACAGCTCAGATGAAGACACGCGTCAAGATCTTGTCAGTAAGGTCGTTAGGAACTAGTATAACTAGCGGATAGGACCTTTGTAATCGGAGGTGCTTCCAGTATTGTAATCGTCTAATTTTTCAATTGAATCAATTGAAAAACCTTTGGAGCAAATCTCTTGTGTTCATCTTCTTCATCAATACTGTGTGTTCTTAATACTCTGTTTTGCTCTTATTATTACTTCCGCTGCACTTCATTGTTCAAGAGCTTTTCTAAAGTATTAAATCAATATCAAAGCTGAATTTCATATCCAACAGGTTTTATCAGCCAGCGAACTACTGACGGTGTGGAGAAGCTCAATCTCAATCTTGCAAAGCCTGTTATTTCAGATCACAGCAGGCTGTTCTTCAAGATTCTGATGATCATAGTGTTTCTGTATTTGGTTTTTAGTTTTGAAATCTGTTGAAGTGTAAATCGTGTAGCAGCTTTATTCGGATTTTGTGACTAGGCCAACTGATTTGTTTTCTCGTTGTAAATCGTGTACCAACTTTATTCTTCATTATCACTTGATTTTTTTACCTGTTTATATGTTTTTTTTTTGGATTTTAACTAATTTTTATCTGTTTTTAATCTGTTTTGATTTGTTTTTGAACTGATCGAGAAGTTTGAATAGTTTTGTGTCGTATAAACTGTTTTAGTCAGTTTTAACTGTCTTTGACTGTTTTAACAGTTTTTAACTATTTTCAACAATTTTGACTGTTTTGACTGATTTTTGACAGTTTTTCGTCGATTCTTTAATTTCTCATCAGTTTTGTGTTTTTTTGTTTGTGTGTTTGAGCTTAACTGTATCTTTGATTTATTTTTAACTGATTTTATCGCATTTGATCCTAAATCAATCTATCTGAAAATGGCAGTTTCATTGGAGAGAGAGTATAAAGAGCTTAAAGAGAAATATGATAAACTAAATTATGAGCTTAACAAGAATATATCATGGACAATTCGTCTGACTGACTATAATGAGAGAGAAAACACAGAAGAGAGTTTTACAAGAAAAGTTGAGCGATCTGATGAAAATTGTTTCTAATCCACAAGAGACAGTTAGTTTGAAGACACAGATCGAAGACTTAACAGCTAAACTACAAAGATCTGAATTGCAAGTTGATTTTTTTAGAGGAATAAAGGTTTAGAAATTGAAAGGGTTTTAAATGTAGAGAGAAAGGAATTCGAGAAAGAAAAGAAAAGATTTATTGATTACGAGAAACGAGTTGATGCTGAACGCATATCTTATGAGAATAAGATAAACTCTCTAGAGCTGAATGTAAAAATGCTTTTAAAGCAAATATCTGATTTTGAGCAGTTGATCATCTTGGAACGGCCCAAGAATGATAAAGAGAAGAAAGACATATCAGAAGACTGTCTAAGCCAAATACGTAAATTATCTGAAAGCATTGCCCTAAAGCAGAAAGCTTTTGATGAAGAAAAGAAGCAATTTGCTCTTGAGAAAAGAAATACTTCAAAGAAGTATACAACAATTGCTAAAGAGCTTGCTAATAAGAGAAAGTGGCTTGACATCGCTTCTGAGAATGAAAATAGCAGCTCAGATGAAGAAAAAAGAGAGTTAATAAATCAGAAGGGAAAGTTTGAAATGCTTCAGAAGGAGTTAGAAGGTAAAGTTATTGACACTACAAAGAAATTGTCTGATCTGAAGACAGACCTTGAAACTGAGCTGAAGATGAGAACATAACTTAAACATAAGTTTGATTCAGTTACTGTTGAAAGAGACCAGCTTTTACAGAAAGTCAAAGACTTTTCTTGTGCACAAAGCTCAATTGGCTCTCCATCACAGTGTAAAACTAGTTTCTATGAAAGTTCCAAATCGAACAGTTATTCAAGCAGCCCTAAGTTTACTGTTTCTAAGAACTATTCTTGTTGTTCTAATCAGTATTATCAAGGGTATGTTATCAGATCACCTAATAAATTTTCTAAGAGTAAAAGCATTTGGCTTAATAAAGTTGATTATGTTTCATCTCATACACCTGTTGTTACTAACTCTGTTCTTCCTTGCATTGTAAGATTCACTAATGATCTGATCAATCTTAGCAAGAGAAGAATTATTTGCTCAACATGCAGAACCAATGATTTTGTCAATAAGAAAAGGTTCAACAGGTGGCATGGAGATAACATCTATCATAACAGTTGGAAAGGTAAGAACATGTATGATCACAATAACTGGTATGGGTCATATTCTATTTCTGATCATCCTGTTTAAAGGGCTAAAAAGAATATATCTAATAGGAATAGATGGTTTGGAAGTTACAACATACCCCAACTCGATACTAACAAAATAGGACCCAAATTCATTTTGGTACCAAAATCTACTTAATCCGGTTTTTGCAGGTGTGTCAATTTTGTGCTGATCAGAATATCATATCAGTGATACACCAATGCAGGGGGAGTTGTAATCTGTTCCGCAGAGGCTTCTGAACAATTCACTTCAAGACCCGTGCTTTACCGTGTGTGGTTTCTAAACACCCAGTTTAGGACCCGTGCTAAAAATGTTTCCATATTTTTTTTTAATTTTTGAGCTAAACTGAAACATTACTTAAATCTACTTTCTAGGGGGAGTCTCTAGAAAGTTCAATAAATGATTTTCGGACAATAATTTTTTTTGGGAAACGAGTATATTTTCTAAACATGTATTTCCTGAGATGTTACTTGTGTAATTTCTCATCGATCATAACTCCAATACATGTTTCAGCTATTCTTCTAACCGTTATTATCACGTCTCTTATATATAAATCATTTTCGGTGATAATACACTCGTTTGTATTCAAATGTTGATTTTTCTGATTTTTTTTCTTCTTGATTGACATACATTTTTTTAAATCAGAATCTGTGAACTCGTACTTATAGATCTTCATTCATTTCTCTCTTATATCGAATAATATGATCATTGTCGCATCATTCTTTCATTAATTGTGCTTAAAGTCAAATATTTTGATCAATTTTTATCTGATCATTGTGCTTTATCTGAATTTGTTTTGATCAACTGTTTGTGATCAATTGAGCATAATGCTAAATTTTAGGAGGGACCGAGTGCTTATCAAAAATAACTCAATGGAATGTCAGAACTGACAAACCTACCCATGAGGACAACCATATCTAAGTGAGCTTTATATACAACAGGGTTTGTGTGCTGAGACTAACATGAAAATGAGAGGGGTAGTTGTTGTGAGCCAAAACAATTGATGAGAGTTGTGTTAGGATTAAAAGAAAACGAAAATCCTGTTCCAAACTTCTAAAATCCGGGTATAGCACACAATCTATTAGTTCTCAATTCTTTCGAGACTAATATTGAAAACGGCAAAGCCCATGCCAATTCTTGTCACAACCCCACCAGCGATTCATTTATCTCTCAACAGATAAGTGTTTCAATAACACTTGAGGCACGCAGCTCATCATCTATCAATTTCTCATTCAGAGAAAGTTGATATTGAATCAAAAAGATATATGTCCTCCCTTCAAGTCTTTTTGATTAGTAATTGAGTCTGATAAATTTGTGTAGTCCACACGGTTTATCTTTTTTAGCCTAAACAGAAGCATACGTTGCTTTATCTTTCTACACTACACATATTTTGCATTTTATACGTTATTTTGCCAAAACATTCATATATATGCTATTATTAAGCTATCGATGATTGGATGGAAGACCTGGTGAGATGAGCATCAAAAAGTCTCATATATAAATACATCTGTTGTACTGAGTATATCTGTTATACTCACAGGCCAATCTTTTTATAAGATTGAAAACAATTTCATTCGTTGATATTTTGTTACCTTCCCGTTTCCTTAATCTGAAAAGATTAAATAAGTGGATTTGCAAAGATCTACTTACAATTTCATGAATTGACGGCTTACGCGGAGAATTTCATTCATTCTTGTGTATGATGGAATGATTCTCATTTCATCATAAGGGGAGTATGTAATAACGAATGAAATGTCCAATTCCGAACATTATAAGGGGAATTTGATGTAAAGATCAAAGGGGAGTAACTTCAATAATGGCATAAGACTCAAAAAAAGTGCGACTGGAGATGATTACAGAAAATTATTCCGATGCTAAAATGACTGAGAGATGTTGAATGTGAAGATCCATGTTTACAACAGTTTACTGAAGATCAACTCTGAAGTTTGTTATTGTTTCTGATCTACATTGTCAAAAGAGAAGATCATCGTTGTTCTACATTCGAGGGGGAGGATGTTAGAAGATCTTTCTCAACAAATGATTGTCTGAAGATTTCATGTTGAAGATTGTTTTTGAAGAAGACATAGTGTGCTTAAAGCTACAAAGTTCAAACGAGACACAAAGCGCTATATATATATATATATATATATATATATATATATATATATANTATATATATATATATATATATATATATATATATATATATAGGTTGGGGGGGGGTGGTGTTTTTAAAAAACGAATTCATAACTCACAAAACAAAAGATAACATTGTAAGATATGTGGTCTAAAAAGTAACAATATAAAAATCTTGATTTTGTATATTCTTAAAATTTGTATAACGATATCAATATTGATTTAATTTGTTAGTTATGTAATAATATTTTCTATACGATATTTGTAAACAAGAAAATAATTAAAAATAATATAAAAGGTAAATATTATTTAAAAATCAAAACAACTTAACTAACGAAAACAAAGATAGACGGTTAAATAATATTTTCTTA